TCCCTAATGCTGCCACATCTGGCGCCTCCGCTTGCGGCCCGGGAAGAAACGGGAATCCTCGGGGTTTGCGCCTCCCCTCCGGCCATGCCGTCCCCTCGGACACGCGGTCCCCCCGGGCCCACCGCAGAGCCAGGCCCCGGCCTCACCTGCCTTCCACTCCCTCCGCCCGCCCGGTTTCATCAAGCAAATAATTTCAAAGCGACGACCGAAACCCACATCTGGCGCCTCCGCTTGCGGCCCGGGAAGAAACGGGAATCCTCGGGGTTTGCGCCTCCCCTCCGGCCATGCCGTCCCCTCGGACACGCGGTCCCCCCGGGCCCACCGCAGAGCCAGGCCCCGGCCTCACCTGCCTTCCACTCCCTCCGCCCGCCCGGTTTCATCAAGCAAATAATTTCAAAGCGACGACCGAAACGGATGAAATGCGCGGGCGGTGTGCGGCCTCTCGGGGTGGTTGCCCCCAGGGAAACCAGCCGGCAGTAGGGCTGGCAGCCTCGGCCACGGCAGTCACCAAGAAGCTGCGCGCAGCTCCTCCAGCGCTCCCGTTCAATAGCAGGGGCCTGGATGCAACTTCGGCGACAGCCCTGCGCCATCCCAAAGAGCCAGCACAGAGCCCTCTGAGGGCTTCGGTGCCTCTGCTGAGTGGCCAGGAACCCGCACGGGATCTCCCTGGCACCCCACGTCCCACAGATGCTTCCCTGTTCTCCCTGCAAAATAGCTGGAGCCTGTGGACCTCCCCACCCGCTTCAGCTCGCAGCCACCATGGGATGGAAATACCCCCCTTACCTGTACTGGTGCTGATGTTTTCGGTTCCGACAGTTTGCCCCATCAGGTGGTACTGGTTAAGTCGTGAGCCATCTTCGGCCACCACCACAGACGTTGTGGTGCTATTAGTCCACACATAGATCACTTCAGAGTTGGGATAAGCATCTGTCGACAAGGGGGAAAAAAAGATGGTGATGTGTAAAAAACACCGTATAATATTTTAGTGGATCCTTAAATGATAAATGGTGGGGAGAGAGAAGAATGGAGGAGTGAAAGTGAATGGAGAAAAACAAATAAAGATGATATAATCACATTCCCATATGCCCAGCTCAGAAAATATTAGGTTGAAGCCTTCTAATATAACAGATGTGTGGGATGGTTTGTCAAAGGCTGGAACAGTGGAGGTATAAATATAATCCATCACAACCACTCGATTTGGGAAAGAGCCTCCCAGACCCATACTCACCTATCCGGCAGCTGCCAAACCCCAGCGAGCTGCGAAAGACATTTTGCTGATTTGCCCCCTCAAAAGGGACGCAGACACCCCAAGTGCCCGAGCAACAGGGACCTTCCGTGTCTCGTCCCGTCTCCAGGATAAAATACTAAGTGAGGCCGTGTGCAAGTGCGGGGTCCGGTGTGCGTGCGCTGCCTTCGGGACAGGTACGCGTGGACGAGGGGTAGGTCTCTCCCGCAGGGGATGGCGGTAGGTGAAGGAAGCTGGGATGTGAGTGCCCGTGATGCCGAGCTGAGACAGGGTTCGGGGGTGAGATTGCACGAAGGAGAGCAGGAGTGGGGGGGTTGTGCGTACCAGAGCGAATAGGTGGTGGTGTGGGAACACCTGTACACACCTGGAGATGCAAATGTGATAAGATTTCTCTCACATTCATTTGGAAGTCCTAGAAAATAAAGGTAGTGGCAGTACTGCCAACTCATTCCTTCCTCTTCCTTCCTGCTGTTACTTTTAATGCCCGAACACCTGGAGTAATTACGTTATTATGAGGGAATCTCAGTTTTCTTTTAGAAAGACTGTCAGCGTTGGTTTTATTTTTATCTCTGCAGATAAAGTCACAAAAAGTCCAGGAGCCAACTATACATGTAAATATATTTTATTTAATGCAAGTAGATCTCACACTTTTTAGGGCACCCTGATCATTGCAAGCTTCCAGGTAACATGACCGCAGGCATGTTACAGTAGGCTGGAGTCCATTGTACTAAAATCTCTGGAAAGCAGGCAAGGCTTACTTTCCAAATAGGAGGTGAAATGCAGATAGAGTTGGAAGCAGTCTGAAGTCAAATACCAATACCTCACCTTCTGCACCCTGTAAATTTTAAGTTGGCAGTGTAAAATGTTTTCTTCCGGAAAAACTCATACTCTAGTTCAATGCAATCTGTGCAGGAGGCAACACATGGTGGCTTTCCAGATAAGGCCTTGAGAGTCAAGGGCAAGAAGTTAGCTTGAAGGATCATGTGCGCTGCCTCCAACAGACTGCAAGTTTTGTCTGCTAGAGCCTGTAAGCTGTCTTGGAAAGTTGCAACTCCATGGAGGACTTAAAAATTTTCACAGACGGAGGGTCAACATGAGCTTCTGAGGCACTGCAGTGACAAGAAATATGGTAAGGCGGTCCCTGGATTCATCCAACCAGGAATGTCAAGCAGAAAATGGGAAGTGATCCCGCTTAAGGTTAAGAGCGTTTGTGTGTAGCACAATGAGCAGCAGATCATTTGGATGCTGGAGCAGGTAGCAGGGAAGAAAGCAGCACCTTGGTTTTACTGTTGTCAATCTTCCTGTGGCATCTGTGGGAAGTGCTGCCAGAAGCAGGACACTAGGCTAGATACACCTTTGGTCAGACCGTTTATGGCCATTCGTATGTTGTTGTCCACGCCTCAGAAAAGATGTGGAAATAATGAGAACAGAGAGGGGGAGAGAGTTCAAAAGAGGGTTACAAGTATCTCCAGGGACTGGAAAACAAGTTATGATTTGAAGCTTAAGGAGCAAAACTTATTTAGCTCACTGACAAGAAGCTGAGACATGACTCAAGTGCTGACTATAGATACTTGCATACAGAAATCTAAAACCAGGGTAAATTTCTTGTACTACTGAAAAAAGGAAAAGAAAAACCTGAAAGATGGTTTCAGGCAGATTCAGATGAAGAAAAGGACACAATTTTCTAACTGTCGGGGGGCAGGGAGGGAATTAAACAGTGGATAACCTTCTGAGAAAAAAATTGTGGACTACTGTCACTAGAAAGATAATGATGGCATGAGATCTTTTTTCTCACATACCTGACAGTTGCTGCTGTATTCAGGACTGGAGCTGATCCAGGGATTGGAAGTTGAGGACCTACAAATCCTCCATCCCTTGTTAGCCATGCAGCCATGCAGGACTGCCCACACACATTCCATGTGCTTGAATTCGTAGCTGTGCAGTAAAATTACTGTAATTACATTTCATGATCCGCTTTGAAAGGCTAAGAAGGAATGTCTTCCCTCTTTCTAAATATTTGCATCACAAAAAGTGGTGGAATTTCACCTTCCCTCTAAGGCTGAGATACTTTCTCATATCAGAGATGATTACAAGTTCACAACATGTTGTAAATAATTCCAAAGCCAGATCCGGAGAAGGCAAGTAGGAGGAGATGGGTCCATTTAAAAAGGTGCTGCAGAAAGCTCTCCTTTTTAAATGCTTATCTGGTATATGTTGTTCTTGTGCTGATATCCCCAGTGAATGCTGGATTTGCGTAGGCAGATTCAGGATTGTTAGAGAGTTTGATTTTTATCTATGTTACTTCCTATGCAAAAAAAACCCAACATTGGACTTCTTGCTGGCATGATCCAGATGTATCCCACCTCAGTAGTTCCCTGTTACTGCAAGGATCCCAGGCACTGAGATAATTGGGTTTGTCCTGTTTTTCGCCAATGACACACAATAATTCAGTCTGACTAGATGCTTCCCAGTAAGAGCACTGTAACCAAATTCCACTGAAATTGCAACCACACAGGAACATAGGCCTGTAAGGCTTAACAAGTGTTCAGATGCTTTAGTTCTCTGCTCTGCCTAGCCTTGGGGGTCCTAAAATAAACCAATGCCTCTGCTTTGAATTGCAGCCTTTTACTGGGTACTTAAACACACACATCGGTACAGGGTTGGAGGCTCCTACTCCTGAGAAGCCCAGCACCTCCTCCTGTAAAAAAATATCTGGAATTCAGACAGAGGCCAGAAGGTGCCAAAACTCCACGCAGACCTCGCAGGTATGCCCAAGCAATACTTCATGAGGCTGCTTTCTTTCGAAACTGTGGCAGGGAAGGGAGGCTGCCCATCCCAGGCCAGCTGGTGAGAAGAGAGAGCACTCAGGCAGGCAAGTAGCAGAGCTTGAGGCCAGTCCCTGCCTGGGAGGAGGACTCCAGCCTGCAGGTCCTCTCTCACAGGAAAATATCTATTCCGAGGCTACGAGACAGAGAACTGCGCCGCTGCTTGGCCAGGAGTAGAGTATCTGCAGGAGAAGGCAGAATAGCACTGCTAGAAGAGGTTCTTGTGCAGAAGCAGGATGGTTATAGCCAGGGCTTTAAGACACAGTAGGGTGACAGAGGTGTCCTTGTGGAGCCCGGGGCCGATGCAGCCTGCAGTGATTTCCCTCCCTCCAAAGAAGTCTGTCACATTAGGAACAATATGAATATACCCCAGTCTAGAGATAATCTATTGTGCAGGATCACATATATGATATGATTGTCATCTATCTTCCATGCAAACATAAGAAAGCATGTTCTGTATTTTAAAAAGCTGTAATACAAGATTTTTGGCTTAGTGCCTCCTTTCCTCGCTATGGGCCAGGCTTTGAGTGCCTAAGTCCCCTTGGGAGAAAGAGAAGAATTGAGAAAATGTCAAAACATGAATGTGAATGGAGAAAGATACAGCCACCCCCGCAGTCCATATGCACCCTTGAGAGAAACTTACAGCTCTGACAGGAAAAGGCCACCCATGCACCTTGGTGTGGCAGTTGAACCATCTCTTTTCTGGTTCTCTAGATGAACTTCCAGGCAGATAAACCTGTGTACTTGTAGCAGCTAGTTGTCTTCCTACCTCAACCCCCTGCCATGTCTTTCCAGAAACGTCAAACTCCAATTATCCCAAACTTGACTACCAAAAGCTCCAGCTCTGCTGCTGCTAACCCATGCAGTATAATTAGGGACAGTCATATTGAGAGCTGAAAGTGTGGGAGTAGTCTAGAATAATGTTATTTTGCTATCGGGATAGAGCAGGTGCTAATGGAGAGATGGTATTATTCACTGTCATATCATACTTTAAGCAATTGGGCTGCTTCTGTTTTTATGAACCCAAAGAATTCATTTGGTGTTCTTTACAATCATTTTGCTGGCTTCCCAAAGGGGGAAGACTCATTAAATTATTCTTTCTCTTCTAAGCTCACTCTTTTGAAAAGGAAAAAAAAAGGTAGCAGTTGAGATGAACAGCTAAAATTACAGAGAGGTATGATGTTATTAAAAGTGAGAAGATGACAACAAACATTTATTTCTAGCGGACATTTGATAAACGGCTGCAGGCTTATCGTCTACCAGAATGATGAAATAACTAATTTCTTCTCCTATCTGTTTATTGATGAGCAGATCCATTTTTCCACATTCTAATGTCCAACACACACCGCACAATATAAAAATGATGAAGATGTCCCTTGCTCTTCTTCCACCCTCTTCCTGCTCTTGTACGTCCGGCAAGAAAAGTATGACATGGTCTTTCTTACAACAGTGAACAGAGGGCAGGGGAGTGACCTCCAAAGGTCAAAGGGAGGAAAAACATTAAGAGAAAGTCCAACAAAGCAGAGCAGCCAGTTGGTAAGACCTGGAGGATCCCTGACACTTGCCTTGGCACTGAGGGGTGCCCTGTTTTCCCTGTTTCCTCTGTTCCCATTTGCAAATGAAACAGTATGAGCAGTGCAGCATCCTCCTGCACATTCAACAAGCAGCCCACAAGCAGGGAGCCTTCTCCTGGCACTGCCCCCACCACAGGGCAGTGGTGGCACCTGTGGCTATTGACAGACACTCTCCCTTCTTGCCTTTCTTTCTCCTCCATATTGGAATAAACTCCGGCGGGGGAAGTGTTTCTTGGCTCCTCAAGTCAAATAAACCCACATGTGGATGGCTCAGTCCAAACT